AGAGGAGTGTGAGGACCCCAGTGCCAGTGAAGGCGCAGCGTTTGGGATGCATACACCCCAGCCCTAGAGAAGGGCAGTTGAGAATCCCCAGAGAGGGGGGGCATTTACTGAGAGGCCCCAGTGAGGGCCTGGTGAGCCCCAGAGAGGGGCGGTCTTATTGAGAAGCCCAGTGCGGGTGTGTTGAGCCCAGAGAGGGTGGCTTGACAGAGAAGGCCCTGAGAGAGGGTGGCCTGCCAGAGAAGACCCAGAGCGGGGACAGCAGTGTTGAGGAGTGCCCTGAGAGGGGGCAAAAGCCCAGAGAAGGGGGCAGCTACTGAGAAGCCCCAGTGTGGGCGTGTTGAGCCCCGGAGAGGGGACAGCACTACTGGGGAGCCCCAGAGAGGGGGCAGTTGGCGAGAAGCCCCAGAGGAGGGGGCGTTATTGGGGGAGCTCCAGAGAGGGTGCGGCGTAACTGAGGAGGCTTAGAGAGGACAAAAGGGCATAATTAGGAATATCTATTCCATTGGCAAGGCGTGGACTCCAGTGTAGGGGAGGAAATGGAGCCGCAGATAGCGCCCCCTGGCAGCAGGGCAAGAAAAGGGCAGCCTCCCGCTAATTAACACCAATTAATTAATTAACAACAAGGCATGGCAGGCAAGTAGGCAGGCAGTTGCCCCCAGGAACAGGTGTGCGGGCTGCGTTTAGGTCGGCCCAGATCGTGTACCTGTCACAGGCGGGGTTTTCTTCTGTATTGCAGTAGTTCTTCACGTGGTATCCGGGTGGCTCTTTCAAACATGTGATCTATCTCTCTGGAGGAGTGTCCTTGTTGGGTGGAAGCCTTTTTAAGATTGGTGAGGTGGCAATCCCAGGTGTTCTCTTCAGTGCAAATTCGGTGGTATCTGAGGGCTTGCCTGTATATCACAACTTTTTTGGTGTGCTTAGGGTGATTGTTGGTTCTGCGCAGATATGTATGTTGGTCTGTGGTTTTCTTGTATAACATGGTCTGTATTTTATCATTCCGAATACTGATCATCGTGTCTAAAAAGGAGATGTTGGAGCTGGAGTATTCTAGAGCAAGTTGGATGGAGGGATGGTGATTGTTGAATTTCTGACGGAACTGATGCTTCTTCCTCTCTTCCCCTTAAAAGTGAAGGACATGGTAGCACACAACCCCCAGAGTAACTGTTTGTCATCTTCCACCTACATAGCCAGATTTACACTTATTTTGAATGGATGCATATTTCAAATACTCTCTGTGACATCTACCTCTCTTCTGCCATATAGATAGACTTGCTGTGTGCGACTGGAAATCTATCCTGACGTTATCTTCAGTGCTTGAGGGAAGCAGGCAGTGAGTAATACAAGATATTGAGATGTAACAAAATCCTAGTGATTGATTTACCTTGGCTATTGCATTTGATAGCATTTTTAATAAGTTCTTATGATTTCAATATGAATGGTGTACAAATATTATTAACGATTGGGTTTCCCTCTCTCCCACACTTTTTTTTTTTTTTTTTTTTTTTTTTTTTTTTTCTTTCTTCTATGCATTTGACCACAAATATTTCTTGACCTTCAGCTAAAGGGAGGGTCAGTCTGAATAATATCTGCACAACTAGACTACGTTCATATTCAGGAAAAATGTATTTTGACGTTAAGATCTAGAATCTATGAATCTAAGATAATCAAGGTTGACTGTATAAGTGCAACTAAAGATGCTTCTTCCTCTCTTCCCCTTAAAAGTGAATTTTCTAGTTTTGTGTGCAAACAGATAATTGGTTCAGTGTAACTCTTTATAACAGAGGATATCGACACACATACATGACCCCCACCTGAAATCCATAGTTCTCTGGATGCTAAGAAACTCGGCTCCCTGCCTTACTTACAAGTCACACACGTTTCTGTATTTTTAAGCATCTTCCATAAGACCTGGTCCATAAACCACTTAAAAAGAAAAAAAAACAACTGCTCAGCAGTTTTGGAATGCAGATTAACCAGCACTTGCTGCTTTCAGTATTAGCAAGCATTTCCTTGAAATAAACATACCAAGCCATTTTCAGTTACTTGTGCTCCCTCTTCAGGCAGGAAAAAGAAAGAAAGAATCAGTTTTTAGAACCGTTATTGTTGGATTCCAGATTAAACCATTTCTTAAAACACTGTTCAATCAGTAACCTGGAGGTGGTTTGTTCCTGAGGGTGTTAGCAGGTTTTAATCCGTTATTTGCCTTCTACTCTGCTACTACTCTATTCAACTCTTCTTTGAAAATTAATATGTTTGCATGTATTTAAAGCTTCCACCTGATGTATTGTACTGGTTTCACTAGCATTTAGTAATGAAGCTACCCAGCTCACACTGAGGAAGGGTCTTTATTGAGCTTCCATCTACCCTGTTTCTCCTCTTTCCCCACCCCCCCTGCTCCCAACCACACACATGCTTATATACATTTGTTTTCACCCTAGTGAAGTGCTTTTGGTCCATGAAGCAACATATTGTCAAAAAAGTGGCAGTACCATTTGTATGAGCACAACTAGAGAAATATAGCTATCAACACAGTAGACATTGAAGAAGTCAACCAAGCCAGTTGTGTACCAGTTTTAAAGCAGGTTTTAGTAAGAAACGCACACAAAAATTAAAGTGTTCATTTTGTCAGGATGTTTTAACAGTAGAAAAGAAGCCTCATCTGCTTTTTAAGCACGTTGGAACTATTCAACTAGGCTACGCATACAAAAAGACCGTCCCAAAGAGGCAGATAAATCATAATATCTAGAACACTAATAACAAAGTCCCTTGGGAATACATCAGATCCATACAAAAATAGAAGCATGCATCTAGAAAGTTAGAGATGCTGTATATTGGCCAAACATGTCGAAAGGTATCAGAAACCAGGGGAGCAGCTGTGATGTTCAGAGAGATGGCAGGCAGCAGAGCAATACTGCACAGCCCTCTAAATGAAGGCTGGACTAAAGAACGAACCTTTTTGTTACAAGCCCCCAAAACTTACTTCATTATTGTAGGCATTTATTGGTACGAAGGTTTTTAGTAGGCAAAGTATAATATAGTCTAGCTGTTTTAAAAATTGACCCTGTCTACTTGTCATAGATTTGTATAGTTATCCTAAGAAATGATAATTTGATCATATCACCATATAATAGTCAGGCAACTGGTTCACATTTCTAAAGATTCTATTAAAGAAACTGCAAAAAGCCAAACATATATGACAATCTATCCTTACATGGAGGAACATCCCCACAGAAGGCATTAATAGTAAGGCTACATAGTCTTTTATTGGGAAAAGATATTTGCTTTGCTAAAGCCCATGTAAAACCAGAAGTGAAAGAGAGAAAAATCAAAGCCTACCACAAGGAAGGACCTCTCAGAGGTACAAACAGCAAACTACTGGGATCAAACTATTTCCTCAGAACAAATGTCATGTTTTAAATTAACATACATGTACATGTGTTGAAAAAATAACTAGTGCGAAAACTTTTTTTTTCCCCCCCACAAAATTTGCCTTTGCTAGCTATGAACTTCAGATGAACACAAATATGGAAGGATGAAATACCCACTCCACTTATTTGTCGTATTTCTGTGCCCTGCTTACCAACATCCAGTCTTCCTGAACTACAGGAATGAAACGGAGTCCAAAGCCAGAAGCCATAGTCAAATATTGTTAGACATCAAGCAAAGGCAGAAGGAAGCAAGACTGATGGTAGAAAAGAAAGACAATTGGAGACCAAGAATAATTGTAAGCTTCCAAAAATGTTAAGCAGCTAACATACCTCTGGGAGAACTAGGCTGAGGGTTCAGCTGCCTGCAGAGGTTAGGGCAACCAGGCACAGCTGGACCCAATCAAGAATCAAGGGGCTCTAGGCAAGCTTTAAACTTTGTGCAGCTCTAACAGTGACTGAAGGTTATTAGAACAGACCGTCAAAACACCACACTATAAAAAAAGACCAAGTATATAGTAATACCCCATTATCCTGAGAGAGATTTGTACCTAATCTGACATCAACCTGCTTACAAAGCGTGCACAAGACTGCTATATTAAAGTATGAAAACTGTCCTTCCGATTCCAAGCAAGTTAAAAGCTCAATTTAAAAATAAGATTAAATAATTGTGTGTAATATTAATACATGATTTCTGGTTTTATATAAATGTTAAGTATATAAAACAGTTACACTTGAAATGGAGCAAAGAAACTGCAATGAATACCATTGCCAGGATTGAGAGAACTCTGTGGAAAATTACATTATGGTTTTGGGATCTTAGCCAGAGTACACTGAAGGATATGGTCAGTCTAAGAGTGCTTCAAAAACTTTTTTTTTTTTTTTTTTTTTAAAGCAATGTTCAATAAATATTTTTATCTGCAATTTAGAAGTCATAAAGAACCACGGACTGCTAGTATTAGGCATTCCTAATTCTTTGTCTAGTTTATAGACCAATACAACCAAAAAGCCAACATGGTGATAAAACTATGGCCAGTGGGACTATCACTGCTCCGTAAAGGATTGGCCACCACATGGTATTGGTTTGGCCCTGTTTTCAGGTTTAGAATCATGTGACAGTGGCTCACAATACCTTAATATTTTCTTTATACCATTTAAGATTATACTTATTGTAGTTTGCCAGTCATAAATAGCAAAGACAGTTCTGACTCTGAGAAAAGAGAAGAAACAACATTTCTATTAATGTTTGCATAATGATAATATTTGAGAGCCCCTGAAGCCAGACCACTAGTAGGTATTTTAGTGTCTTCTATGTAGTGACAACATCTATCTGTCCTTCCTTTGCACAGACACCTTCTATTTTTATTGCTCTTGTATACACCAGGACCTAATCTCTAGGGAAATAGCTCGTTCAAGGACACCATAAGATCCCTCCTTACATGTAAAGTGTATTTTTTGGTACTCTGGAACTGGGTGACAGATCCAATGATGTAATGTGTTGCATTAAAATATTCAGTTCAGATGGAAAGATGTAAGCAGGAAGTTATTAATTTAATAAGATATCATTCATCATATGGCATGGAGTGAGCAAGAATTTCAAATTGACTCATTCAAATGTAATTTCAGTGTGGAAAAGAAAAAAAAAAAATCAAATTTAATGTGTCAATAGAAAGAGTTTTAAAGTGACTGTTACCAAGCTATTACATCAAGAAAGTATGGCTCTCACTTACTATTAAGCATAAGGCAGGGCAGGCACTTTGTAGCCTCATTTAGAGAGGAATGAGCTTTTCCTAGCTACAGGTGCTTCTTCAGATGCCATGAATGGACCTGCAGATATCAGGAATACTAAATAGAAAGGGGTAAGGTCATTAAAATACAAAAGATAGGGAAAGTGGGAGGAAAGAAGGGGCATTGCTGAGACAAGCTAGGTGAGTTGAAGAGATCAAAGGGGATAATCCTGGAATTACTATCAGATCAGTGTCTACTCATTTTTAGGTAGAGATTTCCTCATCTGTCCAAAGCAAACCAGCAGAGGAGCACTGTAAACAGGTGATGGCTTATATGATGTTTGTAGGGGAGCAAGTAAATGAACCCCAGATCTTAGAAACTGCATTGTTTGGTTCGGTGATGATGTGGTCTGCGTTGATGAGGGGGTGCAGCTGGCATCTGGATCTGTTGCCAGGCCTGTTGCCTTGGTGAGGATAGGAGTTAAGTCATCTGTTGCTGAAGAGGCATCATTTGAGATTGAGGGAGCTGCATGCAAATCAGGTTGGGTTTATTTTCAAGGCTGCCTTCAGATGGTTGTAATTTTCCAGAAGGATTGGAAGTAATTAATGATGTGCCCAGGGAGTTCAAAATGCGGGCTGTAGGTTACAACAAGAGGGATTCTGTTGTCCTTGTCACAGATTTGCTCCTGCAGCAAGTGGGAGTGGGGGTTAACTGTTGATCTGCATAGTCATGGTTTGGGGATTGTATTTTAAGTGTAGGTATACTGCTCTAGATCCCCAAGGTGTGCATGCCAGTTAATGAGATCAGGGCACTGTGAAGTAGAGCTTGGCTGCATATGATGGATCTAGTCATATGTTTAAGATGAAAGCTGGTGGCATGTAGTGGTTAGCTGGCTTCCAGTACAGTGCAGTGCTGATGTGAGCATGGCGAAGCTTACAGTGATGTCCAAGAAATGAATAGTCTGGGTGGAGTATTCAGGAATCAGTTTGGAGGGCTGGATGTTCTCTGGAGGTTCCTTACCATGTGTCTGTATTATAAAGATATATCATCTGTGTACCTTAGGTATACTAGGGGGATGAAAAGGCAGTTGTGGAAGAAGTGGATTTTGAGATCTGTTATAAATATATTGGCCTTTATCTGAGCCTAATTTGCACAAAATGAACTATTCCAACCAGAAGATCTTACAACACCTTCCACTCTCCTGTGAAATATGAATTTTAATTTCCACCTAGGAGAAATTTTCCAATCTTTGCATTCTCCTATGCCTGAGGAAGGGTGAGTATGCTTGAAAATAAAGAATTTTTATGCAAAAACATGGAAGATATTGAATTTAGCTGTTTTTCAAGTGTAAACTTCATAATTTTACAAGAAGGAAGCAAATTTACCATCTTGGAACCTGAAAGCTGACACCCTGGCTCCTGCCTATTGTTCCAGCTACATCTGCATGTTCACAGAGCTCAATGCTGCCTCAATACAGGAGAAATTCCTTGCCCAGGAAGGAGAACATTCCCTCACCCCATCCTCCTGTGAAATGCGTAATTCAACATCCTGCTTGACACCAGTCAACACTGAGGTAAATACACTGCTCTAACTTTTATATGAGCCTAACTTGCACAAAATGAACTATTCCAGCCAGCAGATTTTATAACACCTTTAGCTATCACCTGTATCCTTTGCCATGCGTATGCATAGGTATAGGGAGTATCCAGATATGAATTCTTTGTGTGAGAAAACAAAGCTGGAGAATTCAATGAAAAGAGAAGCAGTCTCATCATCAGGGATAAAGTTTCTTATTGCTTGTATTCTAGCCTCATGGGGGATTTTGGTATACAGAGATGTGACATCCATGGTAGCTAATATGGTATTTGCTGGAAGCTTGTCAATAGAGCCTAGTTTCTTCAGGAAGTAAGTCTGTGGTGTACTTCATATAGATGGCAGCCCTGGTGGCATATGGGAATAGGACAGAGTCAGTATATCTAGGAGCTCCCTGGCATTGGCACCATCACAGAGGGATAGTGGGGCATCCTGGGTTGCCAGGTTTGTGGATCTTGAATAACTGAGGGAGCCTGGTTCCCAGGAGGTGGAAACATAATTCCTGAATTTGGACATGGCCATGGGTAGCACTGTGGCAACAGTTACACTGATTTAACTTAAACCAGAGTCCCCCAGCATCCTGGCATGCTCTCTGGGCTGTGATCTCTGCTCCAGTGGAGCAGGGCTGGTCCTACCCCTTTGCTCCCTAGCCAGAGCTGGGACAGGCAGGGGTGGGGGCCTGGCCAGATGCTGGCCCTGGAAGGGACCTGGGAAGAGGTTCATTCCCTTGTCCTGTGTCCCCTGTCCCACCAGCATGGGCCTGCAATAGCCTGGAGTGAACTAGCCAGGAAGGGGGCTGAATTCCCCACTCCCTGTCCATGGACCCAATCCAAGGTCCACCTGACAATCCCTCCTCACTTCTTCAGTGGTGGGGGTGCAGCCAGATGCTGGCTAGCATGGTCCCTGAGACAGAGCGGGGCAGGGAGTGGGGTTATTCCCTTCTCTGCCCTTACTTCCCCTGGGGGACCGCAGCAGGGTCCAAACGCTGCTGCTGCCACTTGCTTCCTGCACAGGATAAGCAGTGGGATAAGCCCCATCCTGCCCCCTCCACCAGGAGTCAGAGGGAGGGGAAATAACCTACCGCCCTCCCCCTTGCCTAAGGAGACCCTGCTGGCTAGCCTCTGGCTGGGCCCCCTACCCTGTTGCTGGAGCAGCAAGAAGATGGGGCCCTTGATGGGAGCAGCAGCCTCTGTCCTGGCATCTCAGGAATACAAGCCTCTTCCTGGCGGGGGGCCCACAAGCAGGGATTAGAACTGCTGCAGACTGCAGAGGGTGGGTGGTATCACCAGGGCTTAGGGGGAGCCATAGCCCCCCAAGCCCCTCCAGTGTCACTGCTGCCGCTCACTCCCTCCATGCACTCCACTGCAGCTTTCCCTGCCCCACAGTATGCTCCCCCCACCCTTGCTGGGAACAGGCTTGTGTTTGGGATACCATGATAGGGGCTGCTGCCTCCATCACATTTCCCCCCTGCCCCCACCGCTGCATCTGCCCCTCTCTGCTTCAGTGGCAGGGGAGGGGCAGGGCCAGACCCTGGCCAGCACAGCCCCCTTAGGGAGGGGGGTTATTTACCCCACCCTCCGGTGATGGCAGAGGGGGCTTATCCTGCTGCTTGCTCACAGGGAGCTAGTAGTGGCAGTGGTGGTCAGGGTGGGCAGACCCCACTGGTCCCCTGCGGGGAATAACCCTCCTCCCTTCCCCCCTGCCTAAGGGGGCTGTGCCAGCCGGCATCTGATCCTGCCCCTGCCCTGCTGCTCCCTGCTGGAGCGCCAATGGGGGAGTGACTGAGGGGGGCAGCAGCCTCTGTCATGGTGTCCCAAGTGCAAGCCTCTTTCTGGCATGAGGGGCACACTGCAGGGGAGGGAAAGCTGCTGCAAACTGGAGCAAGCAGTGGCAGCAGTGCTGGAGGGGCTTTGATGGCTTCTGAGTCTGGGTGCTACTGCCTGCCCCAGCTCTGATCCACACTTGTGCCCACCCCCCACTGGGAAGGGGTTCACACTCTCTAGACACCAGGACAGGGGCTGCTGCCCCCATCAAGGGCCCTGTCCCCTCACTGCTCCAGTGGCAGGGTTGAGGGCCAGACCAGAGGCCACCCTGTAGGTCCCCATAGGCAGGGGATGGGGAAGGAGGTTATTCCCCCTTCCCTCCTGCACCTGGTGGAGTGTGCAGGAGGTGGCTTATCCCACCACTCATCCCGTGCAGTAAGCAAGTGGCAGTGGTTGGACCTTGCTGCAGTCCCCTAGGGGCAGGGGGAGTCTAACCCCCCTCCCTGCCCCCTCTGCCTCAGGGACCATGCTGGCTAGCATCTGGCTGTGCCCCCACTGCTGCAGCAGCAAGGGAGGAGTTCCAGGAGGACCCCAGAGTGGGTCCATAGGACAGGGAGGGGGGAATTCAACTCCCTCCTTGGACAGTTCACTCCAGGCTACTACTGGAACTGGCCACGTCCCTCCCCAGCACAGCTTTCCTGCAGCTGAGGGCACCCCCCCTCCCCCCCCCAGCTCCTGGCCTGAGCAACTGCAGGTATGTGCCTGCATTTCCTCAGTCCAGAGGGAATGTCTGTACACTTGCAACCGGTTCAACCTAGGTAGGTTAAATTAACCTGCAAAGATTGAATCAATTCAGGCTCCAGCTTTCTTAATGTGTGTCCCTAGTCTAACAACTTGTATAGTTCCCTCTGGCATTTTTCTGTAGGGTCTTTATTATTAGGATCAGACTTGGAATGCAAAACCCATTGGTAGCCAACCTACAGCACACATGCCACAGAAGGTAGATTGGGGAGGGGTGGGGAGCAGAACAGGTTAGGGAAGGAGCAGTAGCAGATCAGACAGGGAAAAGAGCAGGATAGCACTTGGGGAGGGGACGGGGCCTAATTTGTGGCACACTTGCATTTAGTTTATGGCATACCTGCCAAAAATTTTGGCAACCACTGCATTAGAACTATCCCTCCACAAAAAATATTATGTAATCTAAGAAAGGTATGTAGCATCTGGTTCAGTAAACTGAAAAAAAATATAAATTGAAAAATATCTTTTATTTTAAATATAGAAGGTAGGAGATGCACAGACTCTCCTCTACTCCCTTTTTGCAAGGCCACTAAGCAAGAACAAGGTCCTATGCAAAATTACTTTATATGGATAATGTAAACCTCTCAAGGCAACCCTGAATAATTAAGCTAAAAACAATACCGCTGTCATATCAGTTACTGCTGTCTATTACAATTGAAAATGCTGGATTTATTTTTTTTCCCCCTTCATTCAATATCACTTTTTATTTATTTTGAAGTATCGTACTATGTATATTTAATATAACACAAATACTTTTCTACATCATATGCTGTCTGCTGTTCTGCATAATGTTATTTAATTCTCAAGAGCATTGCAGAATATTATTTGATTGAAAGCTACAATACCAAATAATACAAAGTTATTTGGTACTTCATTAAATTTATTTATCAGGGTATATAATATCTATATATTGTATAGTGTATGTGTGTATATATGAGCAGTGGTTCTAAACTTTTTTTTTTTTTTGAACTTGAGGCACCCTGCACTAGACTTGAGGCATCACTCCATAACCCATAAATGATGCATACCCCTGGTGGCTGAGGGGGTACAGCAGCGCTGGTGGTGGTGGTAAGCGGGGAGTTCCCACAAATGCCACCAGCACTGTTGGAGGTGGTGAGCACTGACCAGGGGAGCTCCCACAGGTGCTTCTGGCAGTGCCAGGGGGTGGGGGTAGTGGGTGGCGAGCAGCAACCACCCGCAAGTGCCACTGACAGTGTTGGCAGCACCTTTTTGTAGGGGGTGCACCGCCAATGCCATAACTTCCTTGAATTGAGTGTCAACCAAGTAATTTCTATGTTATAAAGCTTATACTTCAGAGGGGCTAGACAGTGATGGCAGGGGATCATCAGGCAGGGATAAACCTGAGCTTTTGCTTATCAGATTATCTTCCCACACTTGCTTATCTTTTTACATCTCATGGCACCCTTCAAGGAATCTGGTGGCATCCCAGTATGCCCCAACACCCTGGTTGAGAATCACTGGTATAGATTACAGTTTTAATTTACATACTTCATATTGTTGATAGCTCCTTTTATTCTTTTTCATTTTTACCCATAAAGTTTGACTAGTCTGTGTAGGAGATCATGAAGGCAAGGAGCCTTCGGGCGGGAAGGGAAAGAAAAACACAAGACTCCACCAAATATCACACTCTAATAATTCAAGAATTTTTTTTCTAAATGTAGGTTTAAACACACTAGTGAAGACGACCTTTCATAGGCAGAACCAGAATTTAAAAAAGAGAATTATGAGAGCACCAACTGGTGCTGCAGGGGTGGCTGCACTCCCTGCCCTTTCAGAACAGCCAACCAAGCTATGGGAGCAACAGCTCGGACTTCTAAAAAAAAAATCCTCCATTCAGGTAAGAATCTCCCCCTGGTGCTTAGCACTTGCTCCCTTCCCCTCTGTGCTTAGCCACAGAGTCGGGAAGATCTGTATATTCTTATCACTGTCCCAGCCATTCCTGCCTTGCTCTATCTGCAGCTGTGGGGAGCAGTTGTGCCACTGCACCCCCTCAGATCTGTCCTGTATTTGGTAATTTATTGGCCTCATTTTGGAAACTGATTGCATACAGTGGGTTTGGTATCCATACTCTTCACAAGCTAGGGATGCAGCTACTGTTGTGATTAAAACACTGCCTGGACACTGCTATTTTGACATCACTTTCCTACATGTCCTCTGGCACGTCATTATCTCCCTATCCCTCAAGGTCCCTGTGGCTAAAATTAACCCTTGCTTCATATGAGCAGTGTGAAACTGAACTGGTTAATTTTATGTCTTTAAAATGCTTTGAGATCTTAAAATGTAAGATGCTGTGGAAGCAAAATGCTCTGAATTGTGGAACTATTAAGTTTGATTTATACTGAATAATAATGTAGTATATTTGGAAACACATCTTTTATAAAAATGGTTCCTCAGGGTTGAACTCAGAGTTATCTCAATTGATTCCTTTTTTTACTAGTTCTAGCTGCTTTTATGAGAGAAATTTCAAGACTCATGACAGCATTTTCTGCAGTAAGAAAGCAGTATCAGTACACTTTAACTCTATTAAGGCCTATGGCTAACTCAGCAAAGTGTTTGTGGCAGCTGTGTACAAAATGCCTGTCTAATATAACTGGAAGAGGCAGGTGTCAGAGGGAAAACAGTGGTAGCAAATGCAAACAGCTCTGTGTTCTTGCAGGCTTGCCCTCAGCAATGTATTATTGTTGAGCTATTTGAGCACTTTACTCCACATCTTTCAAATCATGTTGAAGTCATAGGTGAAATGTCAGTCCATTTCCCACAGGGCATTTATCCCTTTCACTAATCCATTATCCATTTTGGCACAGGTTATAGTTTCTGCATGAGTGAAGCTCAAGGCTATGGACATATGGGTTTAGGTGGACTGCATAGGTTTATGACAAAATGATGTGCATTACGTATGTACTAGCTGTTTGTCACTTTCCATTGCTAAAATATTTTGTGCAGGGAGCACAGGGCCTGGAGCAGAAAGCAGACCAGATCGGGAAGGGGATCAGAGTGGCACTCGGGATCACTGGTCTTAATTTGTGGCACAACTGCTTAAAACTTGTCCCCCACCCCACTGCTATAGAAGACTAAAGCCCAGAACTACAAGTTGATACGAGCAAATGGATTCTGCCAACTACACAGAGCCCCACCCACCACAGACCCGACCCGACCCATCCCATCCGCCTGGCCAAGTGTACCCTGCCTTCATGGGGCCTGGACCAATCTCCATGGAGGCCCAGCCTACCCGCTGGCTCCCACTGGTGCCATTCACTCACCCTGGTGGTGAGTGTAGGGTGGACTGGCTGGGGTGCCTGGGCACTGGGACCAAGTGATGTGGCAACTACATTGACACTGGCAGCAGCAGCTAGAAGGAGCTGCCACTTCTAGGGCTATCAGGAAGCTGAATCCAACCACTGCACCTCCCCCAACCTCACTGTGCACCTGGGGGTGGCAGCACCAGCCACATGCACCATGGCCTGGGCTGCCCCCTGCTCACAGACTGGGTAGGGCTGAGGGACCCTTGGTAGGCTGGATTTGGCCTGTGGGCTATATTTTGCCCACAAGCACTTTAGCTTCTATATCAGGGATGGGCAGAATCCAGCCCATGGGCTGGATCTGGTCAGCAGTGAACTCCATTTCCCAGCAGCCCCTGCCCACATGGGTGGGGCCAGTGCTCACGGAGACCCCAGCCACAGTTGCGCAGAAAGCTCAAGACTGGGGCTGCCATGGAGACTAGCCACAGCTGCACTAGCAGTACGAACAAAAGAGCAAGGCAGGGGGCTACTCAGAAACTGCTGAGAACTTGCAATGGGGGCAGCTTGCTCTGGAGCCACAGCAGAGCTGTGATCTGTAGCCTGTATGCTCCAGGCAGGGGCGCGCAAGCAGGGGATTGTGCCTGTGCCCCTCCTCCAGACCAGTCTGTCACCGCTCCAAGGAGCTGGGGCAGAAGCGTGCAAGCAGGGGAATCACAGCCCTGCAGGAGCACACAAGCTCCAGATCGTGGCTCTGCCCTGACTCTCTGGAGCAAGCTGCCCCCATCCCAAGTTCCCATCTGCTCCAGAGCAGCCCCCTACCCTGCTGCAGGTGCTGCCACTGCAGCTGCTGGTCTCCATGGCAACCCCAGCCTTGAGCTTCCCCTGTTGCTGTGGTTGGGTTGCCATGGAAACCAGCCCCAGTCATGCAGACAGGAGCTGCTGGGAAATGGGGTCTGGCTGCTGGCTGAATCAGCCATTTTGCCCACCACTGTCCTACATCCACTTACCTACCCAACACAGGGGAAGACCATTACTTTGGCTGGAGGGGCCACTTAATCAGTTTTGGTGAGCTGTCAAGGGCTGTGCGGGTAGTCCCACCCCTGGTCACCATATTGAGATCAGTGTTACACAAATTGCCAATTGCTCAAATCACGAGCGAAACTTTATAAATGGGGGATAAGGCAAGGTGCTGCGTTTATTGATTTACATGAGTTAGACATAGAGATTTGGACGCACCGTTCATACAAACACACAAATCATCATGCACATCATTACACACAGGCATACACATACACCAGATATAGTTGCTCAACATTAGCCCAGGGTGGCCAACCCGGGCTTACTGAGTAGATGACAATGATTTGAAGATAACAGCTGGAGTGGGGTGAACAGATGCATCTGTGCTCCAATGAAACAGCAGTAGAGAAAGAGACTCTCCCAACTTGGCGTTTTCAAAGTGTTCTTTTATAGGGATTGGCATCCTTTGTTTTAGTGCTTTGGGGTTTTTCCATACCCAGCTTCTGTTTTTGTGGTTGTTCTTCTTTTGTCTTCAGCTTATCTTAGCCTTGGAGTGTTTTTGCTGCCCACATGGCAGCATTTCTTCTTCTGTTATCTCCTTTGTGCCCTTGAGCTTCAAAGGGGTTCTTCAGCCATTTGTTAGTTGGTTACTGGCTGGTAATTTACACATCTGGTGCCTTGTTGCTTACATAAACAGTTAAATCTTCTCCTGTCTCTATGCCATTCTCTCACCATTCACCCTTTTACACACACTCATATGTAAAGACTATGAAGAGTTTATTCACTTGTGTCAAGAAGGATACAAAATGGAGTTTTCAAGTTGCTTACAGGACAAGATAAACATGGTTATATTTCACTATTATTACACTCTATGTTAACATCAGCTACATTAGTTCAGTTCATGCTACATCAAAAGTCCCACCCTCTAGTCCCTGAACTTTGGCACCAGAAGTCCCTCCCCTTTTGGGAGGAGAGGGCTGCCATCTTGGAACCAGAACAAAACCCAAATCATACATTACGTCAAACAACTATTAGAGCATATTTTAATTTTATTACAAAACATATTTGTCATGATTTGTGTTTGCATAGTGTATATAGAAGGGATTGCATAATAACTCAAGAATAAAGTCTTACTCTTGTATATTCTGTGTCGGGGGTGGGGATGTGTGTATGGTGGCGTGTGGGGTTTGGGTGTTCAGTTTGTGTAGGGGATGTGTGTGTGGGGGGGTTTGTGAGGGGGTATGCCTGTGTGTGTGGGGGGGATAGGGTACATTGGAGGTGTATGTGGGAGGGTTGTGGGGGCAGGGTGTGAGGGATTCCCCCACATGGCATGCAGCCCTCACTGCTGGCAGTGGCAGCACTTGGGATGCTCATGTCCCACACTGGTTCTGGCACCCGGCAGCATGAGGCTCTAGCTAGTGCTATGCATGGGGGTGAAGAGTACAGCCTGCCACACCTGCCTCTCTTGTGGGGGCTCTGTGTGACATATCTCTAGCTCCCACTCTCGTGTGGCATAGGGGAAGCCTTGCACTGGAGTCAGCTGCCTTCCCCACCCCTTGCCATGCAGGTCCTGGGACTCTGCAGGGAAGCAGGGGCCAGGGTTCCCATCCACTTCTGGTAGAGTCCCAGGACCTGTGGGGCAGGGTGCAGGGAAGGCAGCCGGCTCCGGTGCAGGGATGAATAAAGGCCAGCCAGGCAGGCTGCACTCCTCACCCCATTGGGTGAGGGCTCCATGCTGCTGCCAGCCCCACACTCCCTGCTTCTACCCAGCTGTAGCTCCCCCTGTCTCTGCCTCCATTGCTTTCCTACCTGGTGCCCTGAGCAAGTGGGATGCCAGGGAAGCCAAACAGGTCCCCTGGGGCAGGGGGGAGCAGCGGCAGCAGTCCTGTATGGAAGCAGCTGCTAGCTGGGCTAGGCCCTTCTGCCCATGAGGGTAGGGGCAATAGAGTATGTTGAGGGGTGTATATATACCTAGGAGCCTTGCTCCTACCTGCATGGGTGGAAGGACTGGCCAGGGTGCAATTCATTGGTGGGTGCCTGCAGGCCAGATGAAAGTGCCTGGCAGGCCAGATCCAGCTTGCAGCCATATTTCGCCCACCCCTGCCATCCTAACAGGTGGAATAGAATCTGGCCCTAAGAGGCTGTCCTTACTGGGGACATTTACCAGGCATAGTAAAACTTCCTATTATTGTTTAGCACTTGGAAGCTGTAGTTATGTCTCATAATGTTCTGATTAGCGCATGCAACTCTATAAGATTCACACAGTGCTTAACCAACCTACATTTTTGTAAAGGTTCTCTCTGAACTGAGAGGGAAAGGATCACATATTTTGCATGGTTGTACATTTTCACCAATATTTAGGTCAGAGCAACCCTCAAAGTGAGTCATGCTGTTAAAATGAAGACAAAACAGTGAGACCTGGACATTAGGATGAGTTAACAGTTCCTCCAGCTCTGTACTTCTTGTTCCCTACTTGACAGAAATACGAAGTAACAAAGCTAGCCTTCTGCCAGCATTTCTCCTTCTGTTGTAGGGGAATTGTATGGCACAGGTGAAAAAACTGATACATTCACCACTTGGATGAAGACTTATAAAATACTCTATTTAAAGTACAATGTATCTCTTTGCTTTTTTCTGTTTATTTCTATTTGCATGACTCCAAAACTATTGTTTGTGTTTATATTTAACACAGTAACAAACCATTCAATGACTGGTGAATTTATTGGAACCTAAAGTGAGCTACTTATGTTAGCAGAGAAAATGAATGGACAGATACAGATTAATATAATAACCCTAATCTAACTCAATTTTCCAAATGTTTAATTTTTACATAGGCAGGTTTCATAGGGAGGAGATGGTAAAAAACTGTTTAATACTCATCAAATGTGTCAATTTTTTGGCCCTCAGCTGACTTTTGGCAGTCCTGCTATATCATCATCTTGATCTTAATTCCAGAATAACACTTCTCATGGATATAAATCATGTATTTTGATCCTACTGCTTTACTTCATTAAATCCTGTTTCAAAGTTTAGTTTATTCATCAGCATTATTCAAGATCTCCTGATTTAACCCTCTCTCTCTCTCTCTTTCTATCTGCATTGTCTTCAGTAAGTGTTGTATTACTTTTCTCTTTCCAAATCCCTTTCTTATGCATGATCAGAGAGTAGCAGTACCCTCACCGAAAGTCAAGCTATGAAGCACTATAAAATGCATCAAAATACATTTATGTTGGAAATACCATTTCCCTAATTCACATAAACACTTCTTTTAAGTATCCCCATCTTGGAAAAGAAAACAGGAAAGTTAATGTTTAAATTTCAGGGGTACATTGACTGGGTAAACCTTGGTAAAGTCGAGGCTATGTCTGCGTTGGGTAACAGCAAAGACCCTCTGATACTAGTATAGCCCTACTTTGGCAATACACTTGATACGTTGAAAAAGGTGACCAGGCTAAGACAAGTGGTTTTGCCCAGGTGAGGGTATTACTAAGTAATGAACCGCCTGGTGAGCCTAATTAAAGATCACTTGGCAAAGAGAAGTTATAAGAGGAAGGGGTATTCACTCCTCACTTGTTGAGAAGGCAGCAGCTGGTTTCAAGGGGTATTGTATTAATATGTGGAGGACAGGTACGAGTAGAAGGATCCCTGAATGCCCTGGTAGCCTTTGATCATGTTGAAAAATTTTCTTCAGTAGTGATAAGACTGGAATATCTGGAATGCTGAG